ATAAGACACAGAAAATGTAACAATTTCCACTGCCTGTTAAAGGTAGGTCTTCCCCCCACCCCCAGACTGAAAAAAAAAAAAAAAAGCTGAAAGGCAGAATGACAGATTTAGGACACACACACACACACACACACACACACACGGAGAAGAGAAAGAATATGAATATATGAGAATGAATCTATCTTCCATCTACTGGTTCAAAAGCCTAGAACAGCCAGAGTTGGACAAGCCACAGCCAGGAGCCCAAAACTATCTGGGCCTCCAATGTGGGAGGCATGGACCCAAGCACTTGGGCCATCACCCACTACTTCCAGGCACACGAGCAGGGAGCTAGCCCAGAAGTAAAGACCCAGAACTCAAACTAGCAATCTGATTCCTGCTAGCATCCACTACCACCACGAGTCCACACCCAGCCCTCCAGTCACTGTCACCTCTGTGGTTAGAGGGCAGGGAGGGTTACACCTGCACACCACTGTCAAATGCAGCCAGGGATTAGGCCTGAACGGAAGGCCCTGACCACAACGTGGAGAGTGGCAAGCTGCTGACCCTAACTGGAACCCTTCCATGTGACAACAATTTTCTGAGAGGTGAAACTCAAGCCCTTGGCCAAACGCTACAAATCGCATTTCACAAAGCTCCTCAAAGGAAAAAAACTTACTTGAAAACATAAAAATAAACCAGATTTTGTTTTTTAAAACGCATTGCTGAAGGGTAGGCATTTGGCCCAGCAGCTAAGGCCGGCTGGGACGCCAGCCTCCTATATCAGAGTGCCTGGGTCCAAGCCCTAGCTGCTCCTGATCCCAGCACCCTGCAAGTAAGCAGCTCAAGCAGCTGGATCCCTGTCACCATGTGGAGACGCACTGAGTTCCAGCCTTCAGACTGGCCACCTGGGCATCTGAGGAGTGACTCGGAGGACAGAAGCTCTTTTTTGGGGGACAGTTACTGTTGAGTGCTTTTTCACATGAAAAGATATTCACTGTATAATGCAGAAAACAGATACAAAACTGTAGGATCCCACTGCACAAAAAGTGAATGAGACCCCTGCCCTGCCATGGTTACAGAAAGGGTTACAGACAATTTCAATTTTGTGTGTTTTTAGCTTGAATATTAAGTTTTCTTTCACACGGAAAACTTGTATTAATAATCAAGCAAACTCAAACATGGGACTGCAGGAAAAAATGGAAATAGCATTGTAATTGAGAATACAAACTTGATTATGCCATCATCCAAAAGTAAGAAGAAAATTGGCCATAAACAAAAGTCAAGTACGGACTTGACAAAGCTGTCCTATAAACTGACAGACGCTAATGGGACTCAGCGGGAAACGTGCTAGAAGCACTGGCACCAGGCTCCAGCTTCAGTGCATTTACATGGAGCGCCCCAAGTCTCATCACCAGGCCAGCAGCAGCTGTTGCTCCTGGAAATTTGTTTAAAATTCAGGTTTTGGGACACAACTCTGACCCACACCATCAGTGTCTAGCGGTGGGGTTAAAACAAACCATCCAGGTGATTTTGATTCATGCTGAAGTTTGAGAACCACTGACGCAAAGTAAAAGTATCTATCCAGGTAGGATTAAAACCCATCTGTTATTCTAATTCAAACTCCTGAACAAACATTGAAATAAGCTGGAAGATGATACAGATCGTTTTTAATTAAATAGAATTTTGGAACTGCTGATTTTGAGACAATTTTGAGACAAGGTACCAACAACTACAGTGGAATACAATGAAAAAAAAAAAGTAGTGCACAAAAATGACAAGAAATCAATGTATTTCCAATTTCAATATTTAGAATACTTGAAAATACTCAAAGTTAGGGAATGACATATACACAACCATTTATTTTTTTAGGATTTATTTTTTAATTGGAAAATCAGATATACAGAGGAGGAGAGAGAAAGAAGATCTGTCTGATGATTCACTCCCCAAGTGTCCAAAATGGTTGGAACCGAGCTGGTCCGAAGCTAGGAGTCAGAAGCTTCTTCCAGCTCTCCCACCTAGGTGCAGGATCCCAAGGCTTTGGGCCGTCTCAACTGCTTTCCCAGGCCACAGGGAGGGGGCTGGATGGAAAGCAGGGCACCAGGATTAGAACCGGCGCCCAAAAGGGATCCCTGCGCATTCAAGGCGAGGACTTTAGCCACTAGGCTACCACGTCAGGTCCATATGCAACCATTTAACTATCATGTTTACGAGAACTGTCTGAGGCCCTCTGGCCTCCGTTAACATGTTTAAAATAGAACAAGTCCAGCAAGGGACACTGTGGCATTGTACCACAGTTGGTTAACACAACCACTGCCACACCTGGCTCCTACTGCTCTAGCTTGGACCCACTCCCTATGGGAAAAAGAAGTACCTGGGAAGACGAGAGTAATGGCTCAAGTGCCTGGGTCCCTCCCACCCAAGTGGGCGACCTGAATGAATTTCCAGCCACCTGGCTTTGGCCTGTTCACCTGGCTGTTGTGGACATTTGGGAGTACGCCAGCAAATGGACTCTGTCTCCACCCTCCTGTTAGTCATTCCCTCTCTGTCGTACTGCCTTTCAAACACTAAATATGTGCTCTTTATTTCTGCTAAAGATTCACGAACAAAAGTTTAACTTCCAGGCTTGTCTAAGGGGTGATGCAGTAATCACAGGTTCAAATTTAAGATTGGTGTAGGCCTGGCGCAACAGCCTTGCATGTGCTGGGATCCCACGTGGGCACCAGTTCATATCCTGGCTATTCCACTTCCCATCCAGCTCCCTGCTTGTGGCCTGGGAAAGCAGTCGAGGATGACCCAAAGCCTTGGGACCCTGCACTGGCATGGGAGACCCAGAAGAATCTTCTGGCTCCTGGCTTTAGATCGGCTCAGCTCCAGCTGTGGGACCACTTCGGGGGTGAACCAGCAGATGAAGATCTGTCTTTCCTCTCTGTAAATCTGCCTAATAAAAAAATCATTATATATATATATATAAACAAAATTGGTACTATATTTGACATAGACTATTCAAATAACAGATCCTTTCACATTATGATTGCAATTTTATGAACAATTCTTAAGTGACTATTAATACGAAATACTATTCTTTCTGATTACATGTAACTACAACAAACCTGACTTTTGAATAAAAGAGCACACTCCAACAATCTGAGTATTTAGGCTTTCAGAAGATTCTGAGTACTGAAACAATGGTTCTCCAATACTTTAACCATCCACTCCCAACAGCAGAGTTGGGTATGCACTCTCAACACGCTTACTTATACCTAACTTCCATATACACACTATTGTAATGAAGATGTACATATAAAACACATCATGAAGAAGTTTAAAACGCTAAGATCAGTTTCAATACTTTTTCTTCAGACATTAACAAGCATTCCCAAGTCTTCTGCACACACTCCCTCAGGTCTTCACTGCAAAGCTCATCTACAACCTTCCTCAAGCCCACAAGCATCTTCTTCCAGCAGTGACCCGGACCTGCAGACTGAGACCCAGGCTGCCTCCATCGGCCACCACCTGCGTCAGCTCTCCATGGTCTGCCAATGAAGCAACAAGAGGCTGGGTCAGCAGGTCCCAGAGTCACATTCAGACCAGGACTCTGCTGTCAGACAAACACGCACAGAAGCTGTGGTGACCCAGGGTCAGCCAGATAACGTCTCTAAATCTCCAAGCCCACTCTGGCCCTGAATATGATCCACATGTGTCTGTGATTGCCTCACCTTTCAAATAGACCACACGCACGCACGCACCAGTTGCAAACCCTTTACCTGATTCTTAGGCAAACAACGGAGACTGTGTGGAAGGGCTTTACCCAGGAGCCTCACTCCCGACCCTCGACCCTCGACCCTGGCTGGCCAGGTCGGGAAACGCAGCAGGTTGCAGGACCAGCCATAGCCTTACAAGTGACCCTAACAGCTGGGATTTATGAAGCGCTGCTGAGCAAAGGGAGTGGACTCACAAGGCATGAAGTAGGGCTGCTATTACTCCCTGACACAGGGGAGGAAACGGGCTCCAACAGAAGTTGAGAAAAAAAGTGGTAGGAGGACTCCAGCAACATCATCTCAACTGCTAAGCATGCGGGTCAAGTGAAATAAGCTAATGTTAGAGCACCCAGCCCAGCACAGCACCCGACAGTACAAACTCAGTAATTATCACCCCAGAATTATTACTTAGGACAGCAGAAATCACCAGGACCCTGCTTCTTCAGCCAACCCGGGAAGGCAGCAAGTTGTAAACGGACGCAGCTCAGGCCCACCTGGCCAGAAGGGTTTCATTCGCCAGTATGGGGGTGGGGAGGAGGACCCTGGGAGCCCACCTGCCTGCTGACACCTGATGACATGAGCTACACCTGAGCACAAGCGGACAGAGGCCCACAGGCAGCGGTCTTTCCCAGCTGGAGAGCTGACATGCTCACAACGTAAACGCCAGCTACAACGGTATTTCTCGTTATAAACCAGGTGTAAATTTTGACCCTCCTCCTGACTAACTTAACTTGGATGCATGTAGGGGTGTGTGAAGACGATGAAGCACATAGCAGCAGAGACGAGACCGCCAACGCCAGGTCAGTTCCTAAGACAGGAAAACCAAGTCTTCCAACTCTAACCCATGGCCAGAAGAAGGAAGGCGGAGATCACCGCGTGTTTTTCCACAGCAGCCTCCCAGGGGGGAATGCTGCAAACATGTTGGGAGATCTGAACCCCAACTGGCCTGAGCATTCACGACAGACAACACACTCTTCCAGAGGCATCACTGAGGGGGGACTGAGCACTAAGGAGCTGTCCCGGACGTCCTGCACCCCAGCAGTGGCCCTCAGCACAGCACAGCAGTTAGGGGCGCAGGACCCACAGACTCCTGGCCAAAGCAAACACGCACAACCAACGGCACCCAGGAACACCTCTTCTCTGTCTCCCTGGGCCATGATGACCAAAGCCCAGCAGCCGGCCCTGACTGTCACTGCCCCCCAAGTCGGGATGGGGAGGCAGGAGCGCCAGGCACCCGCAACCCTGACCCCCGGGGCTCACCGCTCCGGCAGCCGGGCCATCTGCACAACCTCCCAGCGGCTCAGCGCTGACACCGGCACCACAGAACGCCGCCCGAGCCACTAAACCCTCCTAGAAGTAAACAAGAAGCCACCATAGTGAGCAGAAACAAAACAAAACAAAACACTAATAACCAAAATAAAAAAGCTTGGGTCACTGCCGCAGCCCGCCGACCCCCTATCCCCCAACACACCCCGGGGAGAGCAACAGCGCGCCTCACACCTGCCCACATGGACACGGGTGGACAGCACGCTCTCCACAGCACTGCACGCCCACAGCACGTTCTAGAACCCACAGCTGTCCCGGCCGGCCGGTCCCTAAGGCGCGAGTTCTCCCCGCCTCCTCCCCCCACACACACGCCCCGTTTGGGCGGCGACCCTTGAGGACCGGGAGGAGCACGGGGTCGGGGCGAGGCGGTGGGCACAGCCGGGCGACGGCGCGCGGGCACGGACAGGCCCCCGGCGAGGCCGCGGGCTCCCGGGCCGGCCGTGCGGCACGGCTGCTGGACAGCGCCCACGCCCGCGCGCCCCGAGCGCCCGCGGCCCCTACCCGGAACTCGGCGGTCCGCGCGGCCGGAGGCCTCCGCCGGGCCCCGCGGGGGCGCGCGGCGCGGTACCTGTGGCGGCCGCGGCTCCCGGGCGGCGACGGAGGCAGGGCGCGGCGTGCGCCCTCGGGGCCCGCGGTCCGGCGAGCAGCGTTCTCCTTGTCCCTCCCCGCGCCCGGCGCCCGCGCAGCCCGCTGCCCCTTCACCTCTCACCTCCTACCTTTCCCCCTCACGCCCGGCCTCCTTCTCCACACGCGCTCCCGGCGGCGACGTGCGCAGGCGCAGTCGAGCCCCGCCCGCGGCTCCCGCGCGCCCTCCGGCGGCCACGGGGCGCACCGCTGGAGGTGCCGGCTGCTCTGCCTTGTGTCCACAGAGCAGAGGCGGCCAGAGTGCTGGACCGCGCTGGGCCGAGCCCTCCCCGCCGACCCCTTCCCTTGGCATCGCTGCAGACCGCGGCCAGGCCGGTCCCCGCAGCAGAAGGGCGGGCTGAGCGCGCTCGGCTAAGCCCTATCCAAACCCTGCCTGTTGCGGCTCCATCCTAAACCCTTGCTTCAGATAGGGGATAAAACAAACCGCTTCAGGTGCGATGCTTAGTTTCTCACGCTTACCTAAAACATCTTTCCCTTTAATTCAGCGCCGACCATCCCATGAGAGCCAGCAGATAAAAGTTCTTTCTCCCTGTAACTCTGTCTTTCAAATAATTTTTTTTTTTCCTAAAAAAGGAAATGATGTAAATTCTCACTACCTGACCTTCTACCCAGGGCCCATCCATCTCAGCTAACGCTCAGAACAACCTTGAAAAGCAGAAGCTGTGCGGACTTTGACAGAAGCCTTGGGGACAGGAGATGAGACCAGTGCTTCAGACGCCCAAAGCTGGTGTCCCCCTTGGTTCCTCCGCCTACCATCCAGCTTCTCGCTAACAAGGTAGGCAGCCCGGGGGGACAGCGCAGGCACCTGGACTCCCGCCGCTCAGCCACGCCTGGGAAAGATCTGGGTGGAGTTCCTGGCTTCACCTGGTCCAGCTCTGGAGTATCTGGAGAGTGAACCAGTGGTTAGACAATCTCCCCCGCCCCCTCTGCTTTTCAAATAAATAAATCTTACCAGAAAAAAAAATCTCAAATTGAAAGAAAAAATAATAATCCTTCCTCTAGAGAGATTATGCCCAAGGATATGAAGAAACTGTCCTGGGTCAGGGTCTGGGCAGGTGGACTACACAGTCCACCCCAGCTGCCTCAGCGTCAGTCACACACGTGGATGTCTTTGGAATAGCTTGCCAGGAATTAGGCATCAGTGACAGCAGCTGCTGACATGGTCAAGCAGAAAAAGCCACATTAAAAGGCCTTTCCGAATTCTGACAGGAGCAGGGAGCGTTAACCTCAGGATCCAAGATGCAACACTTTTCACAAAACATTTATTAGAAACATAGTGACAGAGAAAGACAAAGAGACTAAGTTCTTGCCATCTGCTGGCTCACTCCCCAAATGCCTGCAGCAGCGGGTTGGGCCGCACTAAACCAGGAGACAGGCACTCCCGCCAGCTCTCACTGCCAAAGCAGCAGGGACACAAGGCCTCCTGCCAGCACCTGCGTCCTCCCAAGTGCACTAGAAGGAACCCTGGTCAGAAGCAGGCGTAAAGGCCCGGCACAATGGCTCAGTGGCTAAATCTTTGCTTACATACATGTCAGGTTCCTATATAGGTGCCAGAAGTGGGCAGTTGCTCCACTTTCCATCCAGCTCCCTGCTTGTGGCCTGGGAAAGCAATAGAGGATGGCCCAAAGCTTTGAGACACTGCTCCTATGTGGAAAACTTGGGTGGCGGGGCAGGGGGTGGGGGGCAAGTAAAAGCTCCTGGCTCCTGGCTTCAGATCAGCTTAGCTCCAGCTGTTGTGGCCACTTGGGGAATGAACGAGCAGACAGAAGAAGATCTCTCTCTCTCTCTTGCCATCTCCTCTCTGTAAATCTGCCTTTCCAATAAAAAATAATTCTTAAACAAACAAACAAACAGCAGCAAGGGTAAAACTTGGACCCCCCAGGCACTTCAATACAGGATGCAGACATAGTGAATTAACCCTCTGTGCCAGAATACCTGCCTCCAACCTGAAACATGACCTTGATAATTTTTTTAAACTTTATTGAGCCCAGTGCAGCAGCCTGGTAGCTAAATCCTCACCTTACATGCACTAGGATCTCATATGAGTGCTGGTTCGTGTCCCAGCTCCTCCACTTCCCATCCAGCTCCCTGCTTGTGGCCTGGGAAAGCAGTTGAGAACGGCCAAAAAGCCTTGGGACCCTGTGCATACATGGGAGATCCAGAAGAAGCTCCTGGCTTCAAATCAGCTTAGCTCTGGCTGTTGCAGTCACTTGGGGAATGAATCAGCAGATAGAAGATCTCTCTATTTTCTTGTCTCTGTAGATCTGCTTTCCAGTAAAAATAAATCTTTAGAAAAAATATTTCTTGTTTATATATTTGAAAATCACAAGTACAGAGAAACTCTTCCATCTGCTTGCTCACTTCCCAATGGCTGCAAGACAGGGCGGGGCCAGGCGGACTCCAGAAGCTTTTTCTAGATTTCTAACCTGGATGCAGGGACCCACGCACTTGGGCCATTTTTTTTTTGCTGCTTTCCCAGGTGCATTAGAGCATTAGCAGGGAACTGGATCAGAAGTGGGGCAGTCAGGATTATGAACCAGTTCTCATATGGGAAGCTGGTGTAGCAGATGGAGGGGACAGAAGTTTAACATTCTATGTGACCACATTCACTGTGGGTTTTTTTTTTTTTTTACCTACCAAGCTCCTCCCATGTCAGACACCAAGGATATAATAAGTTAATTCCTGCAATAAAGAACCTGTCTTAACACAAACCTCTAAACAATTTACAGGCAGCCTAACGGTTATTAAGTTGCTGGGTTCCTGCCAGAGGCAGGCTCTGCTATATACTCTCATTATAGCCCTATCTCATATCAGGCTCCTGATGGTCCTTAGGGGCAGATAAGATAAACCCCAGTTTAAGGATGTGACAGATGGGGCATCCAGAGCTTTAGCAATGGCTGCCAAGACAGGCTGGTACAGCCAGCCACCCCCAAATTCCCCAAGGGCAAGGGGAACAGCAATCCCAGAGAGAATGGTCCCTGGGCAGCACCTTGCTGGTTGCTGTTTGCAGCAGCGGCTAACACTGGATTCATGTCCAAGGCTTACTTTCTTGTCTTCACTTTCTGATCCCCCTAACCCTACAAACCCCTTGTCTTAGGCACCACAGCCTCTCCATCCTATAGATGAGGCAACAGGCCTAGACAGGTTAAGCACCTTGAGTAAAGTCATTATCCTGATGGTTCCATTGTTCCTTTCCCAGTAACTGGATCCCAAGCGTGCACACTCACACACTCACACACTCACACACTCACACTCTCTACCCATTAACAAGTGGCTGGGTGTCTCCTCACAGGGTGAGTGCACTATGGCCATGTATCTTACACAGTCAGTAGAGTGTGAGTGAGCATGATCCATACCAGCTCAAACAGAAGCCTTTAAGAGTCACTGCTGGGTCCAACGTGGTGGCCTAGCAGCTAAAGTCCTCACCTTGAACGCACCGGGATCCCATGTGTGCTGGTTCTAATCCCAGCAGCCGTGCTTCCCATGCAGCTCCCTGCTTGTGGCCTGGGAAAGCAGTCAAGGACGGCCCAAGGCTTTGGGACCCTGCACCTATGTGGGAGACCTGGAAGAAGTTCCTGGATCCTGGCTTTGGATCGGCACAGCATCGGCCTTTGCTCTCACTTGGGGAGTGAATCATTGGTCGGAAGATCTTCCTCTCTGTCTCTCCTCCTCTCTGTATATCTGACTTTCAAATAAATAAATAAATTCTTCAAAAAAAATATGAATTAAGCAATTGATAAAGATGCTCCTTGGTATACTACACAACGGTGTTATTCCTTCACTTTATTTTTTTTTTTTAAAGATTTTATTTTTATTGGAAAGTGAGATATACAGAGAAGTGGAGAGACAGAGAGGAAGATCTTTTATTCACTTCCCGATAAGCCACAATAGCTGGAGCTGAGCTGATTTGTAGCCAGGAGCCTGGGGCCTCTTGCTCCAGGTCTCCCACGTGGGTGCAGGGTCCCAAGACTTTGGGCCGTTCTTGACCACTTTCCCAGGGCACAAGCAGGGAACTGGAAAAGAAGCAGCACTGCCGGGATTAGAACCAGTGCCTATATGGGATTCCAGAACGTGCAAGGCGAGGACTTTAGCCCCTAGGCTATCACACCAGGCCCTTCACTTTACTTTTAAAGTCAAGTTCTTTTTGGTATAATTGACCTACAAAACCTCGCACCCACCTTCGGAGAATACCTGTGGTGGCCACTCTGGGCAGCTAAGTGGGTAAGCTGTCCTCCATGGGCTGCTGTGGTGAGAGCACACTTCCTGTGGTCTTCCTGGAGTGAAGCACCTGCTCCTTGCTGAGGCTCCGTCTTGCACAAACACTCCTTTCCCCTTCTCACTGAGACACTGCACTCTTTTGCCTTATGTAGGGCCTCACGTGACCAAGGACTTGGCAAGATGAAGGTAAAAACTAAGAGATAATCCAACGGTGGGCCTGTGGCCCAGTGACGAAAATGCTGGTTAGGAATGCTTGAATCCTGCATCCTACCAGGGTGCCCGGGTTCAACTCCCAGCT